AAAAGTAATTTCAGTGGTAGGCATAGTTATGCCAGTTCTTTTATAACTCTGGATTGGATTCCATCCTCACCTAAGTCTTTTAATATGTCAATGTTCTTCCTGATTACGTCGCATGTTATGGGTACTGGTATATCCCTAAATTCATTTTCCGTACCTTCTGCATACATTTGTGTGGATGATGGGATGGCATCTAACCTTTCAAGTGTGAACACTGATGTAAAATATTCATTTAGTGTGTTTACTGCCCTTTTGTCATCCATTATAACTTGGTTAGTCTCATCTATTAAAAGTCGTACCGAGTCTTCTGTTTTGGTTTTACCGCTTATGTAGGCATTGAACGATTTTGGATATTTCTTTTTGTTTTGGGCAAGTTTTCTTTCTTCTTTCATAATTTCTTTTGGCCGATCTGATTTTCTGGGTTGCCGAGTTTAGTAACCTTTTGTATATCTTATAATCAGTGATGTCCATCGTGGCTTTACACTTTCTCCAGACATTCCTCTTGATTTCCAATGCTCGTTTTACGACCTGTGTCATCCACCTAGTTCTCTTTTTTGTCATTCTTCATTTCGGCACATATTTTTGAACGAGTTCCATGATGACCCTCTTGAAATTTTCCATGATGCTTCCATGCCATGTTTGTCTATCAGCTCCTTCCAGATGGTGGTTTGCAGTTCCTCTCTCATTCCTTATTTAATAACCTCCTCGATGGTAATCTAGAAATTCGTAAATATTTACCTTTATGTAGGTATCTATGTTCATCGTCCCTCTTAGAATATGGGGATTACATGCAGGGGGTTAGCTTTTCTTCCCAATTTGAATTTGATCATGCCCTCTTCTGATGTTAGCACAAGGTCTAGTATGCTGTTACCTTGTGTGGTCTATACCACCTGCTGTATGAGAAAGGTACTTTCTCCAAAAGTAAAATTTGTAGACCTGTACCTGGTCTACAGGTCTACAGGTCTATCTTTTCCTTGTGATGTTAGATTTTACCAATCTATAGCTTCATGGTCAAAGTCCCCATTAGTAGAGTTTGGATTTCTGATGCCGCATTGATCACATTATGCAACTCCGCAACTTCCTTTGCTGGGTTAGCCTTGTAGCATACTCCCACTGTCATTTTGTTTCCATCTTGAGTTGGTATGTTACACTATACAGACTGAGGATCTCATTGTTGGTTGCATCCAGATCCTCTTTCACATTCAGCATCACTCCACCTGCTCTTCTTGTTCTGTCCTTTCTGAAAGGTGAGGAGTAACCTGGGAGAAAGAATTACCCTTCTATTATGTCCTCTTATTCCCATGTTTCACTGATGCAATGTTGTTGGGATTTTCAACCTTGACGTATGCACATAATGAGTCAAATTTATTTACTAGGCTTCTGGCATTTGTATAAAAAACAATTTAACTCCTGATGTTATTCCTGGGGGCTGAGAGATTGCTCCTGTATTTATCACGTTAGTACTCTGTACAGTACACTGTCTCACTGGTTCTGAACCTGTTTGTCTTGAGATATAAAATGACCCATAAATATGAAAATGTAAATACAAAATAGATGTATCAGGTGCAAGATAAATATCCAAAGTCTCATATTCCACAATCTCTCAATAAGAATATGGTAATACTGTACAATAATTTGAAATACAGCAGCCTATGTTAGACTGCAATTTTCAATATTGATAATGCACATAAATATATAGTGAAGTTGTTCTCACTTTCTTGTGTTCTTTTTTGTAGCTTTTCTCTCTGTAATACCAATCACAAGTGTAAAATTCTTTACACATTACAATTTACTGTCACTTAAGTTTAATTTATAAAGCTAGAAACAAATGGGTAGCTGTTACAAAAAATACAAACATACCTACATTCATTCTCAATATGACTAGCAAATGTTCAAGTTGTTGGCGAGTCTTTACACTATGTTACATATACACACTACTTCTATACTCGTATATAAACTATTTGGCTCATTATATATAATGAAAACAAACTACTCTTACAGGATTCATTACGAGGTCTGGTAACAGCTTGGGGACAATGTATTTTATCCAAATATTTTATATGAACTCTTTGGAATAGTGAAATAAACAAACGTTTAAAATATTTGAGTAAAGTACATTACATTCCCACATTCAAATGCAAGTTTCCCCATTGGAAAAATAAAAAAGCATAAAACAAGAGTAGCAAAACAAAATAATAATCCTAACATTAAAAAAAATATTTGTCCATGTGTATAATATAAATATTATATTATATTTATATAATATTTATTTTATAAATATAAAAGAAAATATAAATACAGTACAAAGGAAAATAATGGGTTTAATTCCTGCACTGCGCACCTTTTATAATACATTTTCGTGGTGTGCTGAAAATAAATTGTTCCAAAAACAGCATATTTTGTTTTTATATTGTTAATTAGCACCCAGAAAGTGCGAAAATGCTAATAAAAACTCAACCTCCAGGCCAGCTGTATTGCCCCAGAGATGTTGCATTTCTTTGGTAAAATTTAGGTTAGGAAGTTGCCACATGGGAATAATTTTGTTGATTTATTTTCAATGTTTCTCACATTTATTTATTTAGTTTTTTTTGCTCCAAGTTGTATCTGTGTCAAAGTTGGTGTTCATTATGTATAACTTTGAAAATATACATATACCTGTATAAAGGTATATGTGTATAAATATATGTACACCAAATATTTATTCATACTAATACAGTATATAACAATTTATGTATATGCAACTGTGTCGTTTCATACTTTCAATGTTAAAATTGGACATAGCACACATTTTGTCTGAAATATATAATGGTAATCTCTCTCTCTTGATGGTGTTAAAATTACTGTGGTTACCCCTGCATGTTACTAAGGCCAATGGAAGGAAAGTGAGGGACTCTGTTTTGTTTTTTTTCAAGATGAGGGATGGTTACTGGAGGCCTGAGGAAGCAGATGTGAGCCGCCTCACATCTGGGGAGCCGGTCGGCCGAGCAGACAGCACGCTGGACTTGTGATCCTGTGGTCCTGGGTTCGATCCCAGGCGCCGGCGAGAAACAATGGGCAGAGTTTCTTTCACCCTATGCCCCTGTTACCTAGCAGTAAAATAGGTACCTGGGTGTTAGTCAGCTGTCACGGGCTGCTTCCTGGGGGTGGAGGCCTGGTCGAGGACCAGGCCGTGGGGACACCAAAAAGCCCCCGAAATCATCTCAAGATAAGATAACCTTGTATGCATGCAAGTTTCAATACTTATGATATACACAATCTTTTTGTACCACAACCAACGTAATTTGAATTTCCACACACACACTATAATTAGTGTGGGGGGCTGGTTGGTTAGCTGGCTGGCAGGAAGGTGGGCAGGGGAAGCTGGCGAGCAGACAGGTACCCGAGTGGGTGGGTTTTGGGCTGGATGGCTGGATGAATGAATGAATGGCAGGCAGGCAGATAGGCTTGATGGTTGGTAGGCGAGGGTTCAGGCAGGCAGGCAGGCAGGTGGGTGGACGGATGGGCGAGCAGGCAGGCAGGTGGGTTGATGGGTGAGGGGCAAGCATGCGAGTTGATAGGTGGGCAGGCAGATGGTTGGATGGGCGGGCAGGCAGATGGTTGGATGGGCAGGCAGGCAGGCAGGCAGATTTGGATGGGCGGGTAGGTAGGCAGGTGGTTTGGACAGGCAGGCAGGCAGTCAGGCATGTGGGCAGGCAGGCATGTGGGCATGCAGGCAGTCAGGCATGTGGGCATGCAGGCAGTCAGGCATGTGGGCAAACAGGCAGGCAGTTGGGCATGAGGGCACACAGGCAGACGAGCAGGTGACACACTCCCTACCCATACCCCTACCTTTGCCCTCCCTCCACCCATCACCCTCCCAACCCTTGTCATCACCCAATCCTCCCCCTCCCATCTCTTTTGGGAAGACAGGTTGTCAGGATGCTGACAGGATGTATAGGCTCCACTAAGTCTGTGCACAGACTGCCAGACAAGACAATATTAGACAGACAGAAAGATGATTACACGTCTCCTTCCTATTCAACCCACCCTCATGCTAGCTCTTCCCAACTCACCCCATGGGTGTTAACACTTGCTGTATGATGACATTACAATGTGTCTTAAATTGTGCTAAAACCCATTTTATTTTCTTGTAAATATTTAAATGAATAAACAGCCAACCAAATACTGTTCAAATATTATATTGTTATTTAATATTTATAACTAGCCCTCCACAGCAAAAAGAAAAAAAATGTGTGATTAAACAACTCCTGCGCCACCTCCATCCTACCGAGACCCTACGGCCTCCCCGACTGCCACACACCCCCTTGCTAGGGTTAATGCGAGTCACCTCTATCCTTCTAGTACACACACAGTGACACGTGACACATGCCACTTCCAGTGGCAGCACACACTACAGCAATAAATGTAGACACCCACATGACATTCAAAGACCCACCACACCTACACCCATTTCTGGCATCTGCCACAACCACTCCTCTCACCCACCATACCTACACCCACACCCACACCCACTCTACCATCCCTGCTTGCCTGCCTGCCTGGCTCCCTCCTCCTTCCCTGCCTAAGCCTCCTCCCCTCCTTGCCTGCCTGCATGGCTGGCTCCCTTCCCCCTCCTCCTCTGCCTCCCTCAACAGTTTGCCAAGAAATTTATGAGAAGTGGTGTACAACAAGTGTTAGGCCAGGCATTTCACTTTTTTACCTGTCAGTGGTAAAGGTTCATATTTTATATTCGGCGACAAGTCAACCCTTGGTTTGGAAGAGAATTTTAGGCTTCAAATGTTGACTTATATGCCAGCATATACGGTAAAATTTCTACCTGTATTTGTATCTGGACAAACCTTCGGTCATCCGGATGTGGACATAAAACTATCCTGATGTGATTTTGTCCGGATGACCCCATTATTCGGTTCAGCGGAATCCGGATAATCGAGTTCACACAGTACTAACATGATCCTGTTTCGGCTGGCGCAGTGCTGGAGTTAATAAACAAATAATAAGCGAGATTCACATTCAATAAATAATATAATTTGTGCTTATGAATTGCACTAAAGACTTCATATTATATTCATTCAAGCATTTTTCCCTCATAGTTAACTTTGTTCAATACTATGCTCGGCAGGAACATCAGTAATGATATAGTTATTTAAACATAACTTACATATCTCCCTTACACTTAATATAATTTTAAATACAATATGACTCATCAGGGCAGTGCAGGCAGGAAAATATGTTTCTGCTAATCCACAAGTCGGCTACATGCATGCCCCTAACTATGGATATGTTTACATGAAATGCCTCACGACATATTCACACACAAACTTGACATACTTCAACCATCTAGTCAGATCTTCAGTAATGGTGGCGAGTTATGATTAACATTTTATACTTATATTCAAGAACCAAACAAACAAAAACAATCATTTCTTTAAGTCTTCTAAAAGTTTTATGTTAGACAAATGAGAGGTCGTCTTTAAAATGTACTGTCATAATTACAATAGTCAACCAGTAGTACAGGTTATTTGCTAAAAGTCATTAAAACAAGAACTGTGCCCAACTCTAAAATATGGCAAGACAAAAGTAACATGCTTATGTTTCACAATGAGAAAACTGATCAGATGAAATTGGATCCTTTGTAAGCCACATGCGTCTTCAACAGCAATTACATACATCTGGAAAAAACTAATTTGAGGAAATAAAAGTGACTTTTTATTTCACTTTCATAATGGTCTTTCCCCAAATTGGACAGTTTTTTCCAGATGTATGTGATCGCTGTTGAAGACGCATGTGGTTTACAAAGGATCCAATTTCATCTGATCAGTTTTCTCATTGTGAAACATAAGCATGTTACTTTTGTCTTGCCATATCTTAGAGTTGGGCACAGTTCTTGTTTTAATGACTTTTAGCAAATAACCTGTACTACTGGTTGACTATTGTAATTATGACAGTACATTTTAAAGCTGACCTCTCAATTGTCTAACATAAAACTTTAGAAGCTCCCAGATCTAGGAGATGCAGAAAATGTAAGAGGCAAGTAGTTTTGAATGTGACGTAAATCCTCATAAAACATTTTGATGATAATTCTATCTTTCTAGATAATGAAAATGTAGTCTTTTTCTTATGATTGGCTTACTACACCTACAGATTCATGGAAGAACTGTTAATACATAGAGGATAATCCAAGTGATCTATATTTTAAGGTGTGACACCACATGCATTGTCATGTGCTTGCTAACAATTCTTATTTTGATTCTTAAAATGTTACACACTACATAAATAATAAAATTCTAAGGTCAAGAACTAAATTTCTTTCCCAATTTAACCACCTACAGTATATTACTCCTGTTTTTAACATAACTGGAAAAACATTTTGTAAGTAGTTTAAATTGTAATAAAGGAGAACTCAAGTGTAAAAGTTTAAAAATGCAAAACTTAGACACCATTAAGTCTGTATTCTTTACATTATTATCCATCAGTGCCTGATCAAGCACCTTCCAGAAAATTTATTCAGTCTGGTAGCGAGATCCCAAAATATATATATACGGTGCTTCCTCTATTGTTTACACCACCATAAGTGTTGACATACACACTGTGTTTCAAAAACTTCTTACACACACACCCTTTGATTTCATACTGTGACTCAACGTAAATGTGTATACAGTACATACATAAAACGATTACTGTACCATGATCAAGGAGTACCATACATAACCTGCAAACACATGACATTTTACACATTGCTTCTAAAAAACATATGTAATAAGATTTTCCTCATTTTTCTTGTAACATATGTATTGTGCACTACTGTTATGAGACCATTTAAACTAAAATTAAAATTGTTTTTACTTATTTTGTGTCCCTGAAAAAGTCCCTCACTGGTTCAAGTCATCTTGGTCTGTATTTAGGGACTTAAGGAATTCTTGGTACTGCTGGATGGTCAGTTCCTGCTCCCTGGAGCCTGCATGGCGTCTCCGCCGATACCTTGTCTGACTGGTTGCTTCAATACATAACACGGCGAAAGAATTGTGACAACTCATGCGCTCCTGGCCTAGCAGCCGTTTCTTCAGCATTGAGGAGGCCAGACCTATGGTTTCCTGTGTATCACTGTTCCAGGCATCACAGTAGGATGACAGAGACCTTTCACCATCCAGGTCTGATCCATGCCACACATACTTTTGGGGCCTGCAGGGGAGTCACATATTATTTGGCTGGCTTCATATGTAATTTCAATCAAAATGCCAGTAGATATTTGTTAATTAATTACTTTTTAAATTCATTAAATTACATTAATTACTTATTTGTTAATTACTTAATGCAAATTAAATGTAACCTTAAATCAAAAACTTTGTTACAAATTAAATTATATCTGACAACTAATTTATTATTACTAAATAAATTGTATTTGAACATTATGATCATATACTGTAGGTTACCACACAAGGTTAGCACACCTATGGATCACATATCAACCACATACCATGTTGGATCAGTCAAAACTTCTTTGCCATCAAAGCTGAAGATGCGAGGCTTTTGCACGAAGACCCCACCTGAACCTGAGAATGCCTCACTCCATGCATTGAAGAGCACCTCACCCTGGATAGAATGCATCAGTACAATTGCTATGCCTTGCCTTGGTGTTGCTCAGTATATACTAATAAAATTATATCTGAGAAACCAACTAAGATTAAATCAAATATCACATATTTCATCTTTTGATATTAAATAAATACTGTAGAGAAAAACTTGTGAATGCAATGAAACAGCTTACAGTATTATCGTAGGCCCTCAGTGGCCTCCTGGTGCTTATCTGATGGTATCACTAATCCTAAAATTCACACTGACCTACTGGGAGCCAGGACCAGGCTTGGACATACACTATAAGGCAAAGAGAGCTCAGGGATCAGAGAGCTACCCAAAACTGAGAAAACCATCTTCTCCAAACTTAAAGACAAACAGAAAGCAGAAGAAAAGATAGAAAGCTTGGCCAGATAGCATACCTCATATTGCCACTTCAAGGAAAGAAGTAAAGGTGAAACCAAAACACTCATCACATGACTATCATGAAGCTGCAGTTCCATGCTTAACCCCTGGGCTGTTCTTGTGATTATAGTCTGCAACACACCCAGGTGCAAGAATTAAAAAAAATAATTGTCTTATAAAAGTGTTCATTTGTGTTCCCTGACCAGGAGGGGAGAGGAATCGTAGGCGACATATTTTGGCCGCAATAGGACGAGGAAGTCTGGCATAATTGAGGTGTTGACAGAGCAATCGTCGCAGGGGTCAGTATCGCCCGAGCTGTCAGATGGGAGTTGCCACAAAGATATTATTACCTAATTATTTCAATGTGATTTTTTCTTAGTTTTCTGCAGTAATATTATTCAATAGTGTGTAGTGTGGTATATTTTTAATAAATGTGCGAATCATCACTGTAATCAAAATTATGGTGTGCATATTAGTGATTCAATTATTATGTTCATTAAACAAATAGTTTTGCTGCTATTACACTATATACACACAGGTTATATATACAAGTATCTGCACGTTTTGTTCATCACAACAACAAACCACTAAGTTGGTATGGTGAGTCAAAACAATGAGGAGTGGCCACCACACACCAGCCAGCCAATACCACCTCCTACCCTCCAACACCTCACTCGCCAACATTCTTCCTTCCACCATACTGTTTTTGCTTTTATTCACTATATACAGACATTATATATTAAGTATCTACATGTTTTGTTCACCATAACTGTACAACTAAGCTGGTATGGTGAGTTTAGACAATAACAGAGGTCGCCACACAGAGTCGGCTGATGCTGCTTCCCTCCCTCACTCATTCAAGGCCAGACGCACTAACATTCCTCCTCCAATCATACTATTTATGGTGTTATTACACTAATACATGCATTATATATAAAGTATTTACATTTGTGTTCACCATAGCGAACCACTAAGTTGATATGGTGATTTCAGACAATAACAGGTGGCCACACAGTCAGCAGACGATACTACCTCCCTCCCTCCCTCAGCATTACTCCTCCCACCATACTACACACAGTGCTAATTATCACAATAATCCTGCTATTATCAGAATCCTGGTAATTTTTATCACAGTCAGGGGTTTTCTGTAATACTATCATAGCTAAATAATACCAATTACATATATATTTTAACATTTTTAGGCAATGCTGTGGTCACAAGCTAAGCTGAACAGCAGTGCTGTTAGTTCATACTGTGTGCTGTTGGTTGCTCATTCACACAAAGACAAGGCTGAGGTTCTTACATCCAGGAATGTCGCCCACAATTTTTTTTTTTTAAATGCCGTTTGTTTGCAGGAGCCTTGAGGAAGCTGATGTGAACCCCGTGTAGCCGCAGGACTTTTAAATCTTACGTAGTACTCCCAACTATACATAGCTGTGGTGCGCAGTTCTGCGACAGTTACTCACCCCAGCTATACATGTATATGTATTGTGCAGTTTAAGGGTTAAGCAAACAGGTTCACTTCCAGAGAGTGAAATATCTAAATGGGAGAGAATCTGTGAGGATGTTAGATGTTTTAAATATAAACTGCACTGCAGACAATAGAAGCAGCTCTGATAAGCCAGAATAAAGACTTAGTAGTTAAGTCCACAGGATGCATCAGAACACGGCTTCACAACACGGTCCTAACATTGCGGTCACATCGTAGATCACCTCATATCATATAATGTATATTATTGACTGTCATGGTGCCTATATGTATGTAAACTGACATATACTACACTACCTTGCCATGATACATGCCCGCTATAGGCAAGAAGAGCATATCTGATTGCATGGTGATAGCTAGGGACTAAACCCCAGAAAGAAAATGTGTTGATTGAAATGAAACAGCTTTTTCTGCTTGGGCCTTGGTGGCTTTCTGTAGCTAGCTCATTCAGATAGCTTCACATACAAGTAACATCAGTGGCCTACTGGAGACTTACTCCCCATGTCAACAGACATCAGTGCAGAGCTGAAAACCACACATTAACGTACCTGGAAGTGAGGGTGGGGGAGGGACCAGGAGTCACCGAGGCACAACCAGAAAATGTCTGAAGCACCTGTGAATAGTTAGACTAACGTACAGGGAGTGCACCATGAAATACAACCCCAAAAACCTGAAGAAGTGAATAGCTATGCAACATCTGTCTCGGGTAAAACACTGCGCTTTTTATGTGGTTCCAGGCACTGGCAAAAAAGATGACCACCAAATGAAGTTGTAAAACATCTTCAACCAAAGCAAGCCCCAGAGGGTAAAACACACATGTGAAGTCTAGGCTATTCAACAGGCACTTGAGGTCTTGACAGGAAAACCAAGACCTTTAACACCAGAAGATGGTAGCACAGCCACAATAGGGTCAACAACATATGAGAAAGAAAGGTCATCCGAGCATACCAGACTTGACCCCATTAAAGTTAAAACCTGAGAAAGTGCCAGTTATTACTTCTGCAAGCTGATCAGGAAACCAAAGTGAGTATACTGGAAAATAACAATATCATTGGCAAAACTCTGACCCTGAGAAGATAAATGTCTCATTATTACTCGAATAAGAAGGGTGTAGACACTGGGTGCCACGTTCAGATCACACAGCAAACCCCAAAAGTGCTAACAGAAGTATCCAACTCTAAATCCCAGCTAATCCCTGAACTGCTCACCATCACTGGGCAAACCTGGGACATATTGGTAAAACTGAATGTCAGGCAAAATATTTAAGTATTGACAAAAAAACAAGTCTGGGGTGAAGAGGAGCTGGTGATATCTCACTTGGGAACAGTAAAGAAGCAGGACACCACCCAGAGGGACTGGCTCACTGTAATAACATTTGTCCAAAAGATCATTAATGATGGTCAGAGTAGAGGAGTAAATGGTTAACACTTTAGTTCAGCAACGACGCAGCATTGCATCATTCGTTTAGTAGATGGACTTCCGGTAACGACGCAGCATTGCGTCAGTGGCGGCGTCTTCGGGAGGGGTGCGCCACGGTTTTGGACATTATATACATATACTCCTGTATGGAATTTCATTGTGAATACATTGATACCAAAATGAAAGACCTAGTTCCAGAATTGAGGTAACAAAGTTGAAAAGAGTATACAGTACCCATTTTATTAGTGCTCACTGGGGTTATGCTCCGTCACTTTCTCTGTTTGCTATGGGTGGTACACCTGGCTTTTGGACTTTATATTTGCATATACTCCTGTAGGGAATTCTATTGTAAACACAATGATACCAAAATGAAAGACCTAGGACGAGAATTGAGAATGTCCAAAGTGAAGAGAGTGTACACATTTTATTGCTCTTGCGTGCTCCTGGGTAATACACACTTTCTCATTGGGCTTTTGGGCTTTATATGCATTTAGTCTTGTAGAGAATTCTATTGCAAACACATTGATACCAAATTGAAAAACCTAGGACGAGAATTGAGATGACAAAGTGGAAAAAGAGTATACACTTTTCAGTATTACCGTGCTCTAATGTAATGAGAGGCATCTTAGGGTGGCGCAGTTCTCTCTTTCTGGTCCACTTTCATCTTGTCGGCAGGTGGAGCATGCTGCGGTTTTTGACATTATATGCATATACTCCTGTTGGGAATTCTATTGCGAACACAATGATACCAAAATGAAAGACCTAGGACGAGAATTGAGGTGACCAAAGTTGAAAAGAGTACACATTTTTCAAAATTACCGTGTGCTCCCGTGAAACGCTAAAACCCACCTGGGATAGTGTGGGGCTTGCGCGCCCAGTGCGCGAAAGTGTTAAGCAGGTTCATGGGTCACTTAAGGGGTAGGGGAGGACATCCTCCAAAGACACTGGGACTTACATGATTTATAATAGCATTCTGGAAAGAAACCTGCCAAAAGACATTAACTATGCAATCAATAGGGTTTACCACAAAAGAACTAAAGTCAAATGACTAATAAACATCACACACACATCAACAGGCAAAATGAAGAGGGTAACAAAAATATCCACTTGAATTTAAAACCACCATATCAGAATCTGGAAAGCTGCAAGCTGCAAAGTCTAGCAATGAATTGGGCCAGGGATCTACTTTGTCCCAACTAAAAGTGAAAAATGGATAGACAAATCTCTCGGATGCAATGATAACTGCCTGCCCAGGCACAAGGGAAACTTTGTCGCCAAGTCAAACACCTAACCCCAACATAATCCCCAACAAAGAAAGGTACATAAAGCTACATATATAGTGTTACATAACCGTGGCCTAAGTGCAGACACATCAAAGACATAAGCTACTTTAACACACATGAGTCGGGGCCAGGTGCAACACACTAGCACATGACTATCAGTTCCTCACAGTAATGATCAAGTACAATATCTACTTAGACACTAGGCAACTCAAAAGGAGCCAACCTGTACAGGGAAACTGAACTCCTCAGAAAAGATACCTATGGTGGGGCAAGGGAGATTCAAGCCAACCATCAGGTACTGTAACCCTCACTCAGAGTTTGAGCAAAATAAGAGTTAAGGTAGAAACAATGTGGATACTTTGAAACAACTGTAAAGCATCAGAATTTAAACAAAAACAAAGCAATGACCCCCTCCTGCACACACAACAACTGTTCCAGGAAAAGGCAAACCACTTAGCTGGCTACAAAAGCAGTGATTAGGTCTCAGCAGAAGCTGTCCAAGCTACCCAATACCAGGTGAGTGAGGGAGGGAGGTAGTACTTGGTAGGCCATGAGTTGGAACCCTAGGTGACTTGACTGGACACATTAGGGTAAGGTCTGTTCACATGTAGCATATTTTTGCTTGCTTCATTTTCTTCATTTTTCTTTTTTTCTTTCTAGTGGTAATGTGTTTGTTTTGCTAACTTTTCTCATGTTTTAGATAGATCTCTCATTCTGGTCCTGGTTCTCAGAAGATCAGTGTGGGCCTACAAGGCCTTGCATTAGTCTTAGGTTTAGCAGTACAGTACAGTATCAGCGCATAAGCACTGAGGAGCTACTGATGGGATATTTTAGGAAAAAGTAATTTACATGGGTTGTATACAAGACAGTAGTACACTGAACAAATAGATAGCTTTTCACTGTTTAAATGCAACAGTCTACAAAAATTGCTTGTCTTACCTTAAGATTAACAACTGGCAGGTCCCTGTCGGAATATCTGACAATAGAATCAAGATTCTGGACCCGAGAAGTCAGAAGTGCCCTAAAGGTACCTTTCAGGCCTGCCCTCCTAGCCTGCCTGTAGCAAGCGTAGTCTGCTCCCCGCACACCATGCATGTCGCCGGTGAAGGGCTCATTCAGCGCCGCTAGCCGTAACTGCAAAGAGAACTAATTTTACATAGAGGTTTTTCATAATCAATACAATACAACCTCAATTCGGCGAACCTCTGGCTAAGTTGCACACTTTTCAGGCCGAATTTACTCACCCGATTCGACGTACTGGTACTCTGGTTTGCCGAAGCGGGGGGATGTGCAGATTTCCTCACGATGTTGGGACAGTTCACAGAGTGGTGGAAAACTTTCCCCATTCTATCACTGATTACAATTAATAATTCCTTCATATGACAAGTTAGATCACACAAGTGGACAAGTGGACCACACAAGTGAACCCTATTAACCAAACATCAGCCAGATTGGTCCACACAAGTGAACGACTGAGTTTCCATGATTTTCAGTCACTGATTTGTGGCACATATATCTATGTAAATTAATTTAAAAGCTGAAGATTGAATAGCTAGCTAAATATGTTGAAATCTTCTTATAGATATTTTCTGGGATGAAATAAGATGTGTGAGGATGGACAGATAAGGGAATACTGTACTGTAAACCTCACTTGCTTTTCCTTAGTGTGTCATCATAGTTCAGTGACTCGTGATTTTGAATGTGTCAGATTTATAAATCATTCCTAAAACCGGTGTTTTAATAGATCTTTATTATCCTAATTATATTTCTAAACTAACTAAAACAAAAAATATACTGTGCTGTAATATGATAGACATCTGTTATTTGAGAAACTATTCATGTTACTGGCTCTAGCTTTCAAATCAACTCGAGCACGGGTGGACTGGTCTATTCCCTGCACACACGGCACCATGTGCTATTCGTTCAAATTCGGCGCTACAGTTCAGTGACTTACGGCCTCAAAATAATAAAATGAATAAATCATTTCTAAAATAAGTATTTTTATAGCTTTTATTATCCTAATAATATTGTTAAACTAAATATATAAGCCAAAAATATATAATATGATATACTGTACTGTACAGAGGAATCTCGGGTGATGAGCAGCCCCATCTTTGAGCCTTTCAGGTAAAAAACGAGCCACTCGAAGAAAATCTGTCTCGATTGACGAGCTTTCACTCGGTTAACGAAAAAACCACGTGGCTCTTCCTAACGTTCCCGATGGTTCTAGCAAATTCTCAAATGCCTCCGACGAGTGTTATTGTTTTATCGTGCAGGATAAGCATCCCTCTGCATTTATTGTGCCTTTTTTTTGTGGTTTTGTGACTACAATTTGTAACCCACGATATCGCCAAAGCTGCTGCTTCCTAAAGATATTGTTGTCAAGAGGAAGAAAGAGACAATTACTGTAGATTTGAAGGAGGAAATCATAGCAAAGCATGAGTGTGGTGTTCGTGTGACTGATCTCGCCAGGGAGTATGGGGTATCCACACCGTAACTAATCTCCTCCCCATCGTCTCCCTCAACCCCGCAATGACTATGAGGTAAAGTACAATTGAAAACAGTAAAACAAAACCTTTACTGCCCGCACTGCCTGCCCAAATAGTCGGCCACCCACACTGCCTGCCCAAATAGCTGGCCAGCCACACTGCCCACCCAAATATCCAGCCACCCACACTAAATGCCCAAATCCACCCACCCCGCCTGAATAGCTGCCCACCCACTTTGCCCACCCTTCCGCCCGACAGCCTGCCCACTAGTCGGCCACCAATCCATCCATGATAACGTGATTGATGTTCAAAGATGAACATTCCAGATTTTCGAGCTAGTGAAGAATGATTGGAAAGATTTAAGAATAGGCATAATATTAAGAACAGGAAAACTGCCTGAGAATCATTAAGCAGCTGAAACCAACACAGCAACAGCGAGCACCAACAAAGCCAATGCAAACATCTAGAACATTGTGTGTGAAGTGTACAGTTAGAACAAGTGTGAAATTTAAGTACACAGTGTTAAAATTTAAGTTGTAGTAATTTTAGTGTACAATAGTTTTCATAAACTGTATTGTAGTATTCAACATACAGCAGAACTATATAATCAACACAGTGCTAACTGCATAATGTATGTATTTACTGTACTGTATTCACAACTCAATGAGAATTCAAGATGGACATACTCCAACAATAAGGTAAATAAAACTATAATACAGTATTATTTAGTATAGTAATAATATATAGGTACATTATATAATATGATAATGAATTTTTATTGTGTATGATAATAAAAGAGTGACGCACATGCCTCCTGAAGGTCACCTGTTGCAACGAACTGGGCTGGTCCTATACAGTGCCTGATTCGAGGTTGTACCGCATGTTAATCCATACTTGCCAAAATGTACACTTACCTTACTACTGTATTAATTATTCAATGAGTTAATTTCCTCATCTATGGTAATGTCATTCCATTTCCTATTGAACTGATGAGATGACTGCATGCAAAATATTTCTCATTCACTGACATCTTAACCAATAAAAACACATCTAAATATATTTTCTTTGTGCTTAACAATTAAGGTGTTAAGAACATAATTTTGGCATTTTTTACATATAGTACCCCTATTTGTATCTAAGTGGGATGCACTTACCATATGAGGAAATCCTCGCTGATGCCAGCAATGGGAAATAAGAAATATTATCTAGCTTATTTTACAGATGAATTCCTTAAAACTTAGGCACACACATTGAGCCCTAATGACAATTTCTGGCTTGTTTTCATCAGTTTAGGGAAGAAGCAATCACATCACATTTATTAACAATAAGTTGGTAGAAATCCTATGATGCTTCTATATTAATGAACAATGTGGAAGAACAAATTTCAGACACTTTTAAGCTCTACAATTAATAGCAAAAAGATTAGAACCTACATGTTGAGTGAAATACCAATGTACTGTACACTGTTCTCATTCTAACTAAATATTTGTGATATTGTTGGATTTAGTAAGCCAGTAGGAGGGGGGTGTAGCTATGCAGCTAGGCTTGCCAGTGGAAAGATGTAGCTATATGACTAGGCCGGCCAGTAGTGTTGTAGCTATACATCTAGGCCTACCAGCAGGATGCAGCTATAAAACTAAGACTAATCTGGAAATTAGTTATGTATGCCACATTAAAATTTGTAGATGAATTTAAAACATGGCCTCTTTACCTTCAAGTCCAAAAATGTTCAAATAACCCTAATCCTATAATATTAATATAAATATAATATAATATATATATAATTATGTAAATTAAATAACAATTAATACTATTTAATAATAATACTATTTAA